CTTACGTTTTTGGAAAAGATTAGGTTTTGTTGGTTTGGGGGTGTACTATATGTATATATATATATGTACGGAATTAAACTGCCCAGCACTTAGAGAGTTCCACATAATGTTTGTATGAGAAGTATCACTCTTGCAGGAGACTTGCTTCCTGTACTTAGGGAATTTCTGACCTTTTGAACATATTTAAACTGTTTGAGAAGTAAGACGTAAGATTGCACAGAACTCTCCTAGAGAATCTAACTTCTTATCTCTGAGAATTTAAGTACATATCTTCACTGTTTCTGGGGCAGCCGGGAATTAAGCGAGTGCTAGCCGGTCGGTCTTGCTTGTTCTGGCAGGCGGGTGCGCGAATATTGAAACAGGCCTTGTCCTTCAAAGCTTGTTAGTGTAGGGACGCTTACGTCTTGTTTTTTGTGTTTGTTTTTCACGTCACTTGTGATGGCATGGCAGCATGCCCATCTCACAATGTTGGATGCTGATTAGCAAAAGGGGTCCTCCCTCCCTCTAACAAATGGAAGGTCTTCTATAATAAACTAGCACCAAAACAAATCTGGGCTCCTGGGAGGATTGCTTTTGTAATTGATTGTAGTATTCATTTTCCTTTCTCAGGTTCTTTGTAATTAGATATTCTCGGCAACCCTTTCATACTATATAGTAAGAGGACAAAGAAGGCTCTCAGGTTCGCTGCGTCTTTGAGCCAGAACTAGAGAAACCTATACTGATCAATACTCTCAGCAAGCCAACCATTGGCTTAGTAGTATTAAGAATTACTATGTTGATTTTTCTTCAGGAAAAAACTTTGCACAATTGAGGACCCTTAAAACAAATTCATTATTGAGGATCACGGGCATTGATTAAGGATTTGGTGGCTTTGGGAAGCTGTCAGTTTTGAAGAAGAACTAGGGAAACCTATACTTATACTGTCAGCAGGCCAGCCATTGGCTTAGTCGTATTAAACATTCATATTCCTTTTGTATGCAGGAAAGACCTGTGCACAATTGAAGGCCCTTAAGGCAAATTTACTATTGAGGATCAGGGGCATGTCTGGTCTACTACATTGAAAATTTGTTTAGTTTAGGAGCAGTCTTTACATAAAGGATCGATTAAGGCACTGATGGCTTTGGGAAGCTGTCAGTTTTGAAGAAGAACCGGAGAAACCTATACTTGTCAATAATCTCAGCAGGCCAGTCATTGACTTAGTATTCACAGTCTCCAAAGGATTTGAGTCCCTTTTTTTCAGACAATTTCATTTTCAGATAATAAGATAGTAGGATCTCAAAAACACTTAGCACAATAGAGGACCCTTAAAACAAATATGCTGTCCAGAAATATGTTTGAACATTTTATGGCATTATAGGGAGCCCGATTACTAATCAGGATCCAACATTACTGACTACATATTGAAGGTTTAAAAATCAAGCCTCCTTTTTTTCCATGTCGCTGTGGTTTTATGGTTGGTGTGGCAAATAGATCGACGACAGCGCTTGCCAAACTGTGTCCGACTAATCGTGTATTCTCAGATGAGTTTACTAGGTTCTTTTTTACACATGTGTATTTCTGAGTGTTTCTCGCGCTACCTGTTGGCAGATTGATAAAGTCATCCCTCCGTATGTCTTGTCCAATGCTTCCATGTTTTTCGATTAGTGCCACTTGTATATTAGTGCATCTTATACTCAGTCTTATACTCATATGCTTGTTTCGCAGAAGCCAGCAGGGCTCGTGTAGGCATTGCTTAAATCCCATTTCCCTCTACTTTCCCTTTGTTTCCTGTTTCCTTTCTTATTTATAGAGTTTTGCATTCTGAATAACATGTCCATTCAGATGTCTTGCAAAATCAAAATCATGTATTATTCCAAACTGTATTTTTTGCATGTGCTTGATACTTCTCATTTTTGTTTGTTGCAAGTTCCCTTTGTATTATTATAGTAGTACCTGCACTTGCTTGAGCAAGTCTGTTACCAATTTGTCCTGTTAATTCTTCTTGGGATATATTCTCAAGTGCTTCTCCTGCCATTGTATAACTTGATTATCCTTGATTAATCTTTGTCCTGTTACTTCCATTGCTTCTCTGCCTGCCCGAGTAGCAGCACACCCTGCTATATTCCCTGCTACCGGATCATTGCCCAAAAGACTTCGGACACACTAGGAGCAATCGACTTGTGTAAAAAAGATTCCCCGTTAAATTGACAATGCAGACTTCCCGAATCCCAATCAAGGTCATTTTCAGATTTCATCGTAGAGTTGGTTGACAATATAATGAACATATAGAACTACTTGCCGAACTACTTGCCAACTCCAAATGTTGGATCACATAATGTCTACCCCCACCACATGTAAAGCAACATAAGTTGTCTTCTTTGAGCAACTGCATAATTTTAAACTATGTGTTGGCAACAGGAAGTAGATTAATCACCTAGTTTTCCGAACTGGAAGCATATGCGCAGATGTATATGATACAGAGACACACATACCTATAGACACATGTGATACATATAGGGTTGGCGCTTATGCAGGCACACTGCACCCTCTCTTTAGGGGGATTCCAAACCATTTGCGCACATCTGACACCTCCTGAAACATACGTTTGAAACATCCTTATTTCCTAGGTTCCGGGGGTAGCTTATATACCTTAAAATCGTATCATCTAGTGGGGTGGGGTTCCAAGCCGGGGATTCAAAAAAACATGCCGCGCCAAGAGTCTGGCAACGACAATTTGTCATTGCCAGACCCCATGTTGGATTGCCTGATCTGTTGCTTCTTTTACATGTCTTTTAGATAAATCCATCTGGAAGTCCAGTGATCCAATTGCAGGTTTGGCAACGACAAATTGTCGTTGCCAAACTCTCTGAGGCGCAACGTTTTGGCTAGGTTGTCGGTGATTCGGAAAAACCTTTGCACCTAGGATAATTGAATCAGAGGGTGGGGGGGTGGAATTTTCATTAAGGGGCGGGTGTTCTATATATATATATATACACACATATGTACATAGTTTATTGAACCGCGGAGCGTCACGAAACATGCCAGCTTCTTCGAGCTTCTCATACCTTCTTGCTTTTCTCGGGGGATAGTTCTGCTGTGTTCGATTGGATCAGCGAATGGAAGCCCCGAATGCTGGGTGCTTCCTTTCAATTCTTTACAGGCAAACTACCCTGGCAGCTTCTCACAGCCTTGGATGGAAGTTCTAGAAGTGCGGCTCCATGTCATCCAACCACTGAGAAAAACACTGGTGGCAAATTGCTGTTTTGGAATGACCCCATATCAACTGTGTTTGCTATTAGGTTGGAGGCCATCGCCATTAGGTTGGAGGGGTGTTTCGGGGTGTTTTGCAGCCCGGTTTCGGGCCACCCTCCGCCGAAGGACTTAGGGATTTCTCCCGAAGATTCCCTGGGTCGTCCGACTCTAGAGGTTGGCCCATGGTGACTGCTGACTTGCACAACTAATTGTGTTTTAGCAGCAGCCCTGTCGTTAAGGGTTCTTGTGCTTCGGGAGTCTTTTTTGGGTGCATGATGTACACAGCGCCAGTACGACAACCGTTGAGGCAGTTTAGCTCAGATTCATAAGAGAATCCAAAACAAATGGAAGGGCTGCTATTGAGGTTTTTCAAATCACACATCAATCCTAGAACCTGAGTTTGGGAACACAAATTATCAGATCTGAACATGGCAGGTAGAATCCTCAAAAGCATTGAAGTCACAAATTACACCCTGGGAACTGGATGCCCTGAATCTGACCCAAAACTACACTATGCAATGCAGCCAGTCATCTAGGCTTAAGTTGTGGAATTGCGCTGAGATTTCTTAGATAAATACGCAAAAATACAATAAAGCTCCTTGAAAAACAGCCAGGCCAAGAACTCAAATTCTCAGAGCCTTTTGGCAGGACCCCCCCCTTCCCCGAGACTTCCCCACATTGTTTAGGCTTTTTGTTTTCCCATTGTTTTTTGGGCATGTTTGTTTTTTTTTGCGCTTTCCTGCCTCAGAAAATCTGTGCTGCTCCTATCTCGTTTTCCTATTGACTCACCTAAAGTCATTTGTACTTTCTTCTTAGAATTGAAAGCGTGCGAGCCCAACACTCCCTTTGTCCTTGCCCAAATCTCTATGTACAAGTCTGTGTGCGTTGACTTCTCGTTGGTATCAGTGCTGTTGCATTTCCAAGCAGCTTGACATATGAAGTTGTATATAATGAACAGGTGGAAGCCAATGAGTCACAACTATAGCTTCCACCGTGGAAGCTGTAGTTGTGGTTCATTTCTTGTTCATTTCAATACAAACTCATATTCAAACCTGATTTAGTTTAAAGCAGTTTAAAATATAGTTTATTTCTGCTCAATTGTAATTTCAAAATTTTGAAATTAACTGTAATTCAAGCCTATTTTCATTCTAGCTCAATCCTAATTTCATTCTAATCAAGTTCTAAGTTAGAACAGTTTAACTCAGTTCTACTATAGCTTAAATTCAGTTCTAATTCAACTTTATTTCTAAATTGTTTATACGGTTTATACGTTAGTTCTATGTTCATTCTCATTTGGTGCAAATTTAATTCCAATTCGATTTTGCTCAAATCCTAATGTGTTGTATAACTCTAATTCAACCTAATTAATTCAAATTTATACAACTATCAAATATGGAGATATATGGAGGGCAGTGGCAGGCTACCACTTCAAATATCTAAAGAAAACAAGTGCTATAAACCCTATATTTTACAATGTTTTCTTGCCGTCGGAGTGTTGGGAAGTGGGTCAAAACACTGTTGCTGAGTAGATAGCTAGATTTTGCAAATTAATCTCTAGGAAGAATCATTTTTATATTAAACAATGTTTTTGTTAAAAGACGTTTCTTTCAACAGTTTTCCTCCAAAGTTCTGGAAATAAGCAGATATTTGCCCCATGGCCTGCCGCTCTCTTGAAAAACTATGCCGTTGTCGGCCTTCCATGTCCTTTTTTGGCACCCGTGCTGTCGGTGCACCCCGCACCGCCCAAAGCAGCGCCCCGTGACGCTGAGATGGGTGGAGGCCGTGAGTGGACGTACCAACGCCAAGGCGCCGTGACTAGACAGATGCAAACGATCCGCGGTGCTCAGTATCTTTGAGTAAACTATCCAAGAGAGGTGAAGTGAACCTATGGGCTGATAATCTATATAGGGTCCATCAACCTCTGTTGGATGTACACCAATGCCAATCACAACGGAATCATTTTTTGTTCCGGGTGTTGCGGCCAGTGATTGCCTATGAATCGAAGACGGTGCGGCACTTATTCTTCACTCCGTGCACGAAGAAATGCCATCGGAACGAACGAACCCCACCTCCAAGGTCCAGAGGTCCGGACACGAGGTGGTTGTTCCCAAAAAACAGGTCGAGAGCTTGAGTTGGGCAATGACAAATCCATGACTTATGGCTGGCGTTGTGCATTGACCCTGGAGAACTGGTTCTCTCATGTTCTTTCTAAAGTGGAACTCCATGACATGACTTCCATGAACGTTCCTCTCGGCCCCAGAAATTCCTAGAAATACACCGCGCGTGGCGTGCACCCGGCCATCCACTCTGCGCTGTTCCTCGCCAGACCCGAAAGACCCCAAATATGGGCAAGGGCCTCAAGTGATGCAGACCGTCTGGGGCCCCACCATCCGTTTGCATTCCGTCGGTGGGTGGTGCTTGGGGAACCCTGGCCTGGCCCATTGCCCCATTGGCAAATTCCGACCAAAAAGTGCACCGGTCAGAGAGGTTGTAAATGATACGTTGTAACTTTGGGCCTGTCCAACATTCTTCAGCTGAGCTGGGATGAAAAAGGGTTGCAATTTCTTACGGCACTGGCATGGATGTGTGAAGGGGCATATGGCAGAGATGTGTAGAACTGCTAGTTGTTCAAACTGCTATATAGTTGTTCATTGGACATGGTGGGGTCTCATGATCCAACGGAGCAGGGGAGCTGGCAGAACCACACGTTTGCAACATCAACCTTCCAATGCAACGGGTCAGATGTACCAGGTGTTGATTCCCGGGTTCATGGAGGACCTTATGAAGGCATCTCTGTCAAGGTGTTTTGGCTTGTGTAGGATGTTGGGAACCTTTGACAAGCATGCCATGGCACGCCTGACCCTAGGCAATGCAGGACAAAGCATGATTCCCACTGGGGCCACTGGGGTGCTGGTTGGGGAGGCTACCTGCTACATCCGGCTATCAACGCTCAAGGATGTTTACCCACTGTGCGGTGGTAGAGTGGTTTCATTTCGATTCATTTCGGTTTTGGTTGCGATAGCTACAAACCACTGGCTGTAATCCTGCCAAGCAGACGGTGCTTTGTTGGCATAACGCTTTGTTTGGGCTGACTTTGAGTTGCTGTAGTTGGCAACCGCATTCTTGACGCTTCAAGCCCCCTCAGTGCTTGGAAATCGGAGGCTATGCCTGGGGACCGGATTCCATTGGTGATTATGGCTTTCTTCGGCACCTTGGCATTGTGCAAAGCCCTGGTCGACATTGAGGGGTGGTTCTCTTGGGCGCAAACTCCCCAACCTGCATCAACCTACATTTAATGGGGTCAGTGTTGCTTTCCCTTTGTGCTGTCACACATTTCTATGTTTCGTGTGGGTCTGACAGCTCAGCTTCCACTTTATTTGCGGTGTGGGAGCTGGATCTTAGGGTCAAATAGAGTGGACAGACCCAACTATAGTGCTCGACGAGACTCTAGAACGCCCACAGTACGTACGTACCTTTTCGGGGACTCGGAGCTTGATTTGCCACAGCCCTGGGATTCGGAGCGCTTTTTGCCGGGAAGTGTTTGTGCACCTTGCCTCTGAACTGACAGCAAACGGGTTGCTGAGGATATCCACTGGACACTCACCCTGCTATCTAACCGAGACGGGCAAGAGATGTCCGCTAGACTTACCATGACTTACCAGATCTTATATAGTAATAGTATATTAGGGAGCCGTTCGAAACCCCTTGTATAGAGTCAGGCTTTAGAGAGGACATGTCATAAAGATTGATCAGTTTTTGGGCTGTTTTTACCTGGTAGGCGCAAGAAGGCGCAAAGGCGAGCGCAAGGTTTATATATATATTATCTATATCTAGTACTAGTAGTAGTACTAGTACTAGCACTAGTACTAGTACTACTACTACTGCTGCTGCTGCTGCTGCTGCTACTGCTGCTGCTGCTGCTACGACGACTAGCACAACAACCACGACGACGACTACTAGTACTACAAGTTTACTAGTAGTTCTACTACTACTATTAAATTACTACTACTACTACTACAAGTACTACTACTAGTAGTAGTAGTACTACTACTACCACTTATACTACTACTACTGCTGCTACTACTACTACTACTACTATTACCACGACTAGTACTACTAGAACCACCACCACCACCACCACGACTACTACTACTACTACTACTACTATTACCACGACTAGTACTACTAGAACCACCACCACCACTACTACTACTACCGCCAACACGGTTCTCATTGGGAGAAATGACTTGGGAGCGCAAAAAGGTAGAAAAAACGATAGGTTTTGCATTTGTCCCACTGGGTTGGATTACCGGACCCCTACTAGCACCACCACTGCCACGACTACGACTACGACCACTACTGCTACTACTACTACTACTACGACTACGACTACGACTACTACTACTACTACTAGTACTAGTACTAGTACTACGACGACTACTACTACTACTAGTTCTACTACTACTACTACTACTACTACTAGTTCTTCTACTACTACTACCACTACTACTACTACTACCACTACTACTACTACTACCACTACTACTACTACTACCACTACTACTACTACTACTACTACCACTACTACTACTACTACCACCACCAAGACCACTACGACCAATATGGTTTTCAGTGGGAGAAAGGATTTGGGTTCGCAAAAACGTAAAAAACGATAGGTTTTGATTGGTTTACCACAAATCGCACGACTGCTACTAGCACTACTATACTACCAGCACCTGGACTAGTACGAAGTGCCACTACCACCACCAAGAGCACCAATACTGGTACCAATATGGTACTCACTGGGAGATAGGACTTGGGAGAGGGCAAAAACGTAGAAAAAACGATAGGTTTTGCGTGAAGGTGAGGTTTGTACCGCTGCTACCACCACTAGTAGCACTACTACTACTACTACCACTACTACTACTACTACTACTACTACTACTACTACTACTAGTACTACTACTAGTACCATTTCTACGACGACTAGTACGACAACCACGACGACGACGACTACTACTACCGCTACTACAACTACCACTACTACTACTACTACCACCACCAAGACCACTAAGACCAATAGGGTTTTCAGTGGGAGAAAGGATTTGGGAGAGCAAAATTGTAGAAAAACGATAGGTTTTGATTGGTTTACCACAAATCGCGCGACTGCTACTAGCACTACTATACTACCAGTCCCTCGACTAGTGGGAAGGGCTCCACCACCAAGAGCATCAATACTGGTATCAATATGGTATCCACTGGGAGAAAGGAGAAGAAAAAGGAAGAAAGGGAAGAGGAAAACTGTGAAAAATGTCAGGAAGGTACGAACGCTGCAAGAACGGCTTTTTTCTTTGCTATTGACAGTGCATTCATGCCTCTCAGAAGAGGAGTGAGAAGAATTGAAGTTAAAACGCTGAAAAAACGATAGGTTTTGAGGCAGAGGAGGAGAAGAAAAAGAAGAAGAAAGGGAAGAGCAACAGGAAGAGGAACACTGTCGGGAAGGTACGAACGCTGCAAGAACGACTACTTCCTTGCTATTGACAGTGCATTCATGCCTCTCAGAAGAGGAATGAGAAGAATTCAAGTAAAAACGCTGAAAAAACGATAGGTTTTGAGGAGAGAGGAGAGAGGAGAACGAAGGACAAACTGAGATGGGCGCGCGCGCGCGCCTCGAGCGGAGAGAGGAGAGGAGAGAGGAGAGGAGAGGAAATGACTTCGGAGCGCAAAAAAGTAGAAAAAACGATAGGTCGATAGGTTTTGCGTTAAGCTGAAGGTTTGTACCACTGGGTTGCACTACTGTACCAATACCACTACCACTACTACTACTACTACTCCTCCTGCTGCTGCTGTTGCTGCTGCTGCTGCTACTCGCACTCCTCCTCCTACTACTACTACTACTAGTACCACGACTACTTCCACTACGAATACTACTAGTACTATTATGACTACTACCACTAATACTACTACTACTACTACCACAACGACAACCACTACTACTAGTACTACTACTACTGCTACTACTACTACTACTACCACCACCACTGCTGCTGCTGCTACTACTACTCTCGCTACTGCTGCTGCTGCTGCTACTTCTACTAGTTTCACTACTACTACTACTACTACTGCTACTACTACTACTACTACTACTACTAGTACTACTACTTTTCTCATTTCCACGTCGGGCGCGCCACGTGTTCTTGCTAATACTAAAACAAATAGAACTGTCAAAACATGCAAAAACCCTCATAGGCGCAAGAAGGCGCAAGGGCGAGCGCAAGGGCTTTTCAGCCTTATGCCCTGCAACTGAATATATACCGACGGAGGGGAAGTTAGAATGGGTAAACAGATATTTTGGAGGGGTTAGCAAAACACCGCCGCACATCCTTTTGGCCACTCATTCTATCTGCGAGGATTCTGAACTTCACTTCCGGCCATGTTTTTGATGTTCATTATCATGTAAGATATGGAGACTCAGGATTCTGAAAAAACATTGGTTTTCTGCAGGAGTTTGTCTTTCTTTATCGCACGATCCTTGCTTATCCTGGCTTGACAGTGCATGCTGCATGTTGCACAACACGTGCATTCGTGTAACTCACAATACAAAGAAATGCCTTTGGCTATTCAATCCATATTTATATATATATATAGTGGATGCCACACAAATACACTGCGTAAAGTGCAGGGTTGCACTCTTGGGAATATCTGCACACAAATAGTTTCTATCTTGGATACGTCTTCATTTTTGGTGTATATATATAGTGGTCCATCTTCATTCCTGGGCGGAAGCCTTTCTGGAGCCATGGAAGAGTTGACTCGGGATTTGCTCTCTCTTCAAGTTCCAGGACCTTGAGCTTTTGGTACTTGATCCTTTCTCGATTTTGCTGCTTTCTCCTGATCCTTTCTCCTTCTCAGACTCTCTATATACCTCTTGGTACATGCCTATGCTTATTGGAAAAGCTGCAGTTAGAATGCCAGGAATCAATACAGAGCCGCCGCTACCAGCACCTGCAGAACCACCTCCCGGACATGAAGATGCTGATGAGACTGATGATAAAAACACCCACGAATTCACTGACCCTAGCGGTGGAGTTGCACTACCATCGGGTGTGAAGGAGTGCAAAACCATGTTGCTTTTCTATATATACTCCAGGTTTTCCGTTCTTTCAATAGGCATGGTCTGACAGTGCAATGTGAGAGTCTACTATATATATATATCGTATAATGAGTGGTTCGCTGTGTTCATGAGGTTTCAAGTACGATGCGAGCTTTTCAAGCGGAGCTTCCCATTGTCTGATTATGGGGGCGACATTCCTACTGCCAAGAAGGTTGCCTTAAAGTTCAAGGAATTGTCCGACAAGATGGCGCTTCAGTTTGATATCCGCAAAGGGAAGGCAAGCCGGCATGGGTCAGACGGAGTGCAAACACCATCATACACACATTATATAGAAAGATATGCCTATATATGTACATACATTCTAACTGTTCGTTTGTGTTTTTTCCAGGAGCGGAGTTCCTGGCTACGAGACAATGGTGTCCCAGATCTAAAGAAAAGATTAGTGAGCCAGCAACGAGTTGAGATGCTCGAACATCTTTGCGAAGGACGCGTCCGTCCCGGGCTCATACTCCTTTGAAAAATTTGAAGAGAGTTGCAGGTGTCTCTTCCCTTCTCTCTCTGTCTCTCTCTCCCTCTCTCCATTTACATATATTTATATATAATCTTTGCATAGTTGTTCTCCTCCCATGTGTTTTAAACCTGCGAGGTTGCATTGAAGAGACACTTCTGCCGATGTCATCACCTTCCCCTTCTGGCCGCATTGAGTTGGGAGAGGCAGCAAATACTTTTGCTGTCTCCTTTGATACAGGAAAAGAGTTTATCAAGAAGACTTTTCCAACCTTGCGTGACAGCACTCAATGGTTGCTGAAAATGGATGCTTCCAAGCAAATCGGACACCTGGACAAGGGTATGTCCCTGATGAGCCGTCCGCCCACCAGTGACCAAGTTACATGGCTGGTGAAATTGACGGGGTGAGAAGAAACTATGACATGACATTCTATCTGTGTATAAGGTTCAGTTGTAAGAACCTGAACATGGATGTATATATATATAATGCAGTTTTCTGACCGTGCGCATTCTATCTGCTATTTCAGGCTATGCTGAGGGCAATGAATCTTGCCCGTTCATGTGGGGAGGCTGATGTCTCAAGCTT